TTAAAATGTGCTGAATGCCATTAATTCGGCTTTTAATGGCTGCCGTGAGTTCCGTGTCAAACTCGCACGAATGATTAACGGCAGCAGTTGGTTGAGTATTAAAATATAGGGCTACAATGATAAATAGGAGATCGTATTAAAATTTGGTAACTTATCTGTTTATATAAAAACAACTGTTAATTAGTTGCGTATTTAGAAAAAATTAAGATAAGTTTACGTTATATTAGTTTTTTTAATTTAGTTTTTATTCATTATTGAAAAAGTTAAAACAAAGATTGGTTAAATCTTTTTTTTATTAAACACATAATATATATGTGTGTGTGTGTGTGTTTGTGTGTGTGTGTGTGTGTGTGTGTGTGTGTGTGTGTGTGTGTGTGTATGTGTGTGTGTGTATGTGTGTGTATGTGTGTGTGTGTGTGTGTTGTGTGGTACAACTTATGTTCTATTATATATATTATATATTAGAATATAAATTCTAAAAAAAAACTGATTTAATTTTACACTTGTACATAAAACAAAGCTGCATATTTTTCACCCAGTTTTGGTTGAACAATATATAGTTCAAAGTTTATAAATATTTTATAATAGAATATAAACTGTTAATAAAAAAACTGATTTAATTTTACTCTTGTACATAAAACAAAGCTGCATATTTTTCACCCAGTTTTGGTTGAACAATATATCGTTCAAAGTTTTTTTAAAAGTCTGTTGGTTGGTAATACCGATCTGAAACAATGCAGTCATTGTTCCTAGGATTGTGTCTCAAGATACAACCGTTATCATATTATTTATAATTTAAATGTGTTGAAAAATGTTTGGTGGTAAACGGCATACAGCTTTATATTTATTTTATCCGTAAATTAGTTAATTATTATGATTTGGTTTTATTTCTATGAAGCATTTGTATAGCTTGTTTTATTAAAGGTCTTACTTGATACACCAGTCAAAAAATCTAAACAAATAAGTTTTTTTTAACTGTAATTAGTACCAACGAAAATAAAAACTTATTTAAAAAAAATATAATTGGTTATGCTACTATTAATAGTAAGTAATAAGTATTAAGATAACGCAGCCGTTTTCACAATATTTAACACCTCAGTGGCGTCTTTTTTTGTGAATAAAAACAGCTCTGGGTACACAGTTCTTACCTACAATATAGACATTTTAGATTTCTTTGAAACTTTTTGTGTTAAAAAAATGCATTAAAATCAGTTATGAAATTTGACAGGTATATATATATATATATATATATATATATATATATATATATATATATATATATATATATATATATATATATATATATATATATATATATATATAATTCAAATAATATAAAGGAATGAGATTATTTATAAATGTAATTAATAACACTTTAATATAAAAAGTCTTCATGTAAAATGTATTTACCTATTTAAGCTCTAAAAGAAACTCTAGAAACTATAAAAATCAAAAAGAAAGTCGATGGTCTTTCTTTTATGAATTTTGTGATATTTACTTTAAACAAACTAAAATATAGATTTAGTTTAACTTCAAAGGCCTTTATAAAATAATTTAACATAAATAAAGCGCTTTTTCATTACTATATTTGCAAAAATAAACTACTACATAACCTTTTGTTCATAACGTGAAAAAACGTTAAAAGGTTTTTAAGTTAAGTATTGAGTGGCCGTTGTTATTGAGTGGCCATGATATTGAGCTGCTTACAGCAGCCGTGGTATAGTGGTAAGAGTTCTTGCTTCAGAACACGAGTTCCGAAGCTCAAAGCCAATTCTGGCCATATATACATCATCGGTAAGGAATGCTTGTAAGTTATTTTAAAACATAGAATCATTCCTTGACAACAACCTAGAAAATGTTGTATTGCACATCATTATGTTCAAGATATGGAGTAAAATGTATATATGAAAAGTTTTAATATATATGTTTTAATATATAAGTTAATATATTTTGTGAAGACATATAAAATAATTTATATGTCTTCACAAAATTTTTAAAAAACTTTTTTTTTTTTTTTTTTTTTTTTTTCGTTAAATTTTCACAACTATATTAATTACAAATTTTTTTTTACACCGATAGCATAAACAAAATATACTTCCAATACAAAAAATTAAATATGCTATGACTTGATAAGGGTTTTGACTGTTGTAGGGAACTCGTAGAAGACTGAGTTTAGTCTTATCATCGAGAACCTTGGGGTATTGCGTAAAGTACACATAAACATTATGATTCTCATAAAACAAATATTTTAAATGTTACTGATGTAAACTTTTTTTTTTTTTTTTATTATTCTATGAGTAGTGTTAGTGTTGTCGTTTATAATAATAATATTATCTTTTTTTTTTAATTTAAAAAAAAAAATACATTTTCATTTTTGGTTGATTGCTGATTGTTTGAATGTGAGCTTAAATGTTAATTTATCATTAGAACTAAAACATTTCTAAGTAATTATCTGTATTGAGAACATGATTTTTTAGTTTTGACTTTAGAGAAGTTATATTGTCAGCAAGAGAAATTGAGGTATAATTCGAAATTAATTTGTTATATAAATAAGGGCCGCGATAAGAAATTGACAATTGAGAATTTTTTTGTCTTTTCCACAGTACAATAAAGTTACCAGTTGATCTTGTGTTAAATTTGTTGATATTTGATTGAAAGAAATTTTCTGTAAACCGGTTTGGAACTAATCCTAATTTGTATTTTAGCATGAACAATATATTAGCATAGTTATTAATTTGGTAAATGTTTAGCGCTTTCATTTCTTTTAATAGGGGTGTAGCGTGGGTCAGTTTGTTCTTATGATATATTATTCTTGAGACATGTTTTTGTCGTCGATAAAGGGACATTAACTTTGACTTGTGTGTGCTTCCCCAAGCAATGTTGGCATATGTGAGATAACTATGTATAAAGGAAAAGTAAAGAAGTTTTAGGTTTTTTTGTGATAAAAACGGTCTAGCTTTAAAAAGTATACCAATACTTTTAGATATTTTAGTGCTGATGGCATTTATATGGGCTGTCCATGAAACATTTTCATCAATAATCACACCAAGAAATTTAATTGTTTGGGTTCTATCAATTTTTTCGTGTTCGATACTTAGTGAGTGTAGAATTGATGGTAGTTTATTTTTTTGTTTGTTTGAGTGAAATAAAATATACTTAGTTTTTTGGGCGTTTAATGATAACATGTTAGCACTGAACCATGTTTTAAGTTTTTGAAGCTTAATGTTGACTTTATCAAAAAGGTTATTGATAGAGGTAGATGAGTAAAATAGATTGGTATCATCTGCAAACATTATACAATCTAGATTTGTAGAGGCTTTAGGTAGATCGTTAATGTAGGTAAGAAATAACAAAGGCGCAAGAATAGATCCCTGGGGAACACCACATTTTATTTTTAATAACTTTGTATTAGTGATACCGTCTATTATAACACATTGTTGTCTGTTATTTAAATAATAAGTGAACCATTTAATAGTTTGGTTTTTTATACCGTACTTTCTCATTTTTTCGAGCAGAATTTTATGGTTGACAGTATCGAAAGCTTTTGTAAGATCAATAAAAACTCCCAATACAAATTTTCCTTTATCAAAAGATGATTTAATGTTGTCCATCAGGTCTAAGGTTGCATGCTCTGTAGAATGGTTTGTTTGAAAGCCGTATTGACATTAACTTAAAATTTTATTGGCTGTTAAATATTTATAAAGTCGGTTGTAAATTATTTTTTCCAGGAGTTTGGAAAAGACTGGAAGAATTGAGATAGGTTTATAATTAGTTAGCAAGGCCGTGTCTCCAGTTTTAAATATAGGTAAAATCTTCGCAATTTTTAGTTTGTTTGGAACAACTCCAGTTCTAATTGATGACTTGAAAACCTTTAAAAGAGGATCTTTTAAAATGTATAAAGTATCAATTAACACATTGCTAGAAATGTCGTCGAAGCCCGGAGCTTTGTTTTTTCTAATTAATTTTGTTGCTTCTTCAAATTCCTCAGATTTTAGGTCACTCTCAGTAAATGAACTAGTATGGTTAGTAAAATAGTTAGTAAATGAATTGTTCGAGTTGTTTATTTTGGGTGCCAGCTTAGGACCGATATTTACAAAAAAATTGATTAAATTTATCGGAGATTGTTTTTTTATCTGTATACTCCAATCCATCTTCTTCAATTCTGAAGGGTAATATTTCGGACTTAATTTTGGTTTTTCCAACAACTTCGTTCATAATTTCCCATGTTTTTTTAATACTACCATTGTGCTTTTGTAATTGTTTAGAAAAATATATTTTTTTTAGATTTCTTTTTAATTTTTTCAAAAAGGTTTTTGTATTCTTTATAAACAGTAAGATTTTTTTCGTTTCTATTTTTTAAATATTTATTGTATAATTTTTGTTTTTTCTTAGACGATTTTTTTATTCCGCTTGTTATCCATGGACATTTCAAATATTTAACTTTTATTTCTTTTTCAATAATTGGAAAGTGTTTGTTGTAGTGCTCAAGCAAAGTATCAATAAATAAATTATAAGCAGAATTTGTAAGTCCTCGGTCGCATTGTAGATAAACATTTGACCAATTTGTTTTCGTTAAGGTTTCTTTAAATTCGTGAATAGAAGATTTGTTAATTTTTCTTTTATATGTTTTGATTTTTGAATTATTTAATGACGCTGAGTTTTGTGTAAGTGAGAAGAATATAGGAAAGTGGTCTGATATATCAATTTTAAATATTCCTGTTTTTAAGGATATGTCTAAAGATGAGTTGGTCAATATATTATCTATGGCTGTAATTGAGGTTGAGGTGACTCGGGTGGGTTTGTTAATTAGTGAGAATATACCGAGCTGAAATAAATTGTCAAAGAAGATTTTAATGTTGGTGTTTTCGTTGTATTTTAAACAATCTATGTTCAAGTCTCCTATGCAAAATATGTATTTTTTTTCATTGTTATTTTTTATAAAGATCTGATTCAAATAGTTAGAAAATTTAATAATATTGCCATTAGGTGGCTTGTAACAAGTAGTTACTAAAATGTTTTTTTTATTTTTATTGATTATTTCTATTGTAAGGGCCTCATTGTCGGCATCGGAGAATGAGAGGTCGTTTCTAATTTTTTTTTCAAGATCATTCCGAATATAAACTAAAATTCCTCAACTTCACAAATATTCTTGACAAGTCTTAATTATTTTAATTAACCCATTAAAGCCACCAAGATTAACATCAGTTATAAATCATTAGCAACTGAGTAAAAACATGTTTTGAGTTAAAAAGTAAAAAAAAAAGGTATTTTTGAAAAAAATTTAGCACATGCATATCTTTTATAATAATAAATGTAATATATACCCCCCCCAGTCCAGACACAATGCAGACGCTCCCCTGCTGCGGCTTTCGCAGGGGGCCATATAAATATACTAATATGTAAAAATATAAATACGGCGCAGGGTCCCCTATAAATATATTTTACATTTTATAAATAATATGTAAAATATATTTATAATATATGTAAAATATATTTATTTTACTTATTAATATATGTAAAATATAAATAACATAATAACTTATGAAATATATTTTTTTACATAATAGTATATGTAAAAAAAATTTTATAATAATTTATATTTTTTTTGTACTTTGTAACCCAAAACGTGCTTTTACACAGTAACTAAAAATTTAAAATTGGTGTTAATCATGGGGGATAAGGGGGGGGGCTTTAATTGTTTAAAATAACTGTGAAGTTTTCGTCTGTTACTTTGTTTTTTTTAACTGTTAAAATTTTTTTTTTAATATTAAGATTTTAAGAAAAATATTTACTTCATATATACTTTTCTCCATATCTTTATCAAAAGCCTATAATGCTGTGCAATAGACACTCAAATCGTAAAAATAGTGCCTGCAAACCATATTGCTTGTTCTTTGAGCACATCAAACCAAGTTAACGTTGCAAAACGTTCATCCGTAAATAGTTTAAAATTTCAATCCGATGGTAAATTGGATGACATATTGAGGACTAAAAATGTACTAAATCCATAAGTTGCTCCTCATTTGTTTCTTATTTACATAAACGATCTTACAAATGCCTCTAATATCTTTAAAACTATAATGTTTGCCGACGATACAAAGTTATTTTACTCATCAAAGACAATCAAAGACCACTTTGAAAAAACAAATGTTGAACTAAAAAAAATTAATAATGCTTTAAATCAAATAAGCTGTAACCCATTATAGAAAAAACTAAGATTATATTATTCCACTTTAATAAACAAAATAAAAAAGTACCCCTTAATCTACCAACAATTAACATAGAAAATATAACCATCAAAAGAGCTTTAAATACAAAATTATTAGGGGTTCTGATTGATCCATACATCTCCTGGAAACCCCACATAAACTACATAAACACAAAAATATTAAAGAACGTAGGTTTACTCTACAAAGCAAGACCATTTTTGTCACAAAAAAGTCTAAAACTTGTTTACTTTTCATTCATACATACATAGCACACACATACATATTCATACATAGCACATTCATTCATACAATATTTTATATATGCCAATTTAGCA